ATTTATTTATTTGACAGAAAAAGAGAGAGCATGAGCGGGGGGTAGGAATAAGGGGAGAGGGAGAAGCAGACTCCCCGCTGAGCAGGAAGCCCAATGTGGGGCTCGATTCCAGGACCCCCAGGATCATGACCTGAGCTGAAGGCAGAGGCCCAACTGAATGAACCATCCAGGTGCCCACTAGCCTGTTATCTTAATGTATTGATGCTGTTAGCACTTCCTTATTTTTAATTTGCTCTTCCTTGGGGGTCTACCTTATACCTAGACATTTCTTTTTTTTTTTTAATTTTTTTAAAGGTCTTATTTATTTATTTGACAGAGACAGAGAGAGAGCACAAGCAGGGGGAGCAGCAGACCGAGGGAGAGAGAGAAGCAGGCCCTCCACCGAGCAGGGAGCCCAATGCGGGGCTCGATCCCAGGACCCTGAGATCATGACTAAAGGCAGATGCTTAACTGGCACCCCTACCTAGACATTTCTACTCATTTAAAAAAAAAACTTTATTGAGACCTAATTCGCACGCCATACAATTCACCCTTTTATAGTAGACAATTCAGTAGTTTTTTATTGTTGTTGTTAGAATAAAATACAGAATGCTTCACAAATTTGCGTGTCATCCTTGCGCAGGGGCCATGCTAATCTTCTCTGTATCATTCCAGTTTTAGTATATGTGCTGCGTAAGCGAGCACTACAATTCAGTAGTTTTTAGTATATTCAAAGAGTTGTGCCATCCCTATCCTCACTTCAGAGAGAAAGCCCATACCCATTAGCAGTCATTCCCCATTCTCAACATCCCCATTCCCTCATTCCTATCCCGGCACTAGGCAACCACTGACTCCTTTTCTATGGATTTACCTCTTCTGGGCATCTCACATAAATGGAACCATACAATATTGTGGTCCTTTGTGACTGGCTTCTTTCACTTAGCATAATAATGTTTTCAAAGTTCATCCATGTTGTCACATTCACCAGGACTTCATTTCTTTTTATTGCTAAATAATATCTTATTGCATGGATATACCACATTTTATTTATTCTATTCGTCTTTAAATTCTTGTTTCTTTCTTGAAGTCTTTCCTTATGACATAAGCTCTGATAGCTCTCGTAGTCTGTCCAACAAGACTGTACTATAAAATAGAAGAGATTGAAAGTTTTCCCTTTATTCCTGTGTTTTAGGCCAGACTGGCAACTAGGTTGCAGATTTCTTAAATTCAGAGAGTGTTTTAGTTCCTCGTAGGGCTTAGCAAGGTGCTGGGCACATAATATTCATTCATAGTTACTTGTTAGTTGGTTAATGTGTTCTCTTAGATAGTGTCAGTAAATGTAATATTTTGTGAAAACGCTTTATATCTACTATTTAACTTAATTATCATAAGAATTTTGTAAAGTCCTAGAAAAAAGTCAGTACCTTCGGAAATTACAAGCTGTGCTCATGATTTTATGGCAATTGAAATGTTATGAAGAAAGATAAGCTAGATCACTCAACATAACAAGCGTATTATGCTAAGCAAGTAAGTCAGTCAGAGAAAGACAATTATATGATTTTGCTCATATGTGTAATTTAAGAAACAAAACAGAGGATCATAGGGGAAGGGAAGGAAAAATAAAATAAGACGAAATCAGAGAGGGAGACAAACCATAAGACACCCTTAACAAAAACAAAGTGAGGGTTGCTGGAGGGGAGGTGGGTGGGGGGATGGGGTAACTGGGTGATGGACATTAAGGAGGGCACTTGATGTAATGAGCACTGGGTGTTCTATGCAACTGATCAATCACTGAACTCTGCCTCTGAAACTAATAATATACTATATGTTAATTAATTGAATTTAAGTTTTAGAAAATGTATTAAATCAATACTTAACGAAAATTTCATTGGAAACTGCCTTTTAAGAATGTGTATTTTTTGTGAAGTATTTATTCCTTTAGTTTTTAACTAATAAAAAAAGATTTATCGGGATGCCTGGGTGGCTCAGTTGGTTAAGCAGCCGCCTTCGGCTCAGGTCATGATCCCAGGGTCCTGGGATCAAGTCCCGCATCGGGCTCCCTGCTCAGTGCGGAGCCTGCTTCTCCCTCTGCTTGTGCTCTCTCTGTCAAATAAATAAAATCTAAAAAAAAAAAAAAAAAAAAAAAGACTTATCTAAGTTAATGTTTTATACATCTTGTTTTAAAAATCTTTTCTTTTTTTAAGCAAATGGCAAAAAGTGAATTTGATTTTTGAGGGCGTCGATACAGTTGCAAAAGTCCTGCTAAATAGTGTTCCTATTGGGAAAACAGGCAACATGTTCAAAAGATACGTAAGTATACAGTGATACCAGGTTAAAACCCACTTATATGTGTTTATGTGTTGTTGTTTTGATTAGAGAAACGTAAGTGAGTAATTGCCCATGTGGCTGCTACAAGCTCTTTGAAGCACTGGGTAAGTTACTTTCTTTCTCAGTTGCCTCATTGTAGAATGGTGAAAACACCACAGACCCTATGGAGTTGTTGTGAGGACTTAATACGCTAATTATATAAAATGTTTGACACAGTTCTTGGTACATGAAGAGTGTTCAGCAAATGCTCTTCACTTCTCTGTTTTTGGTGATCCAGAGTTTCATGCGAAACGCCAGTTGACAAGCTATTAAGAAAGCAAATATTACTTTCTTTCTGGAATAATTACATTAAGATATCATATCCTGATCTCCATTCAAGGGTAGACTTTTCAAAACAAAAATAACTTATGACTTAGAAATACACGCTGTTCATACCAGAGAGTCAGGTTGTCATGAAGCATCTAGGAAATTCCTTGGCAGTTCAAGGCCAAGTGTAAATAGCCAGAGCAGACATTCCAGGGCTAAAGATATTTTCTGCTTGCTCTCTTTGCCTAGGACCGTCATCTGTCAGTACAAATAGAAGGAGAAACCTAGAAATCTACTTTTGGGTAGGAGAATGTGTTCACTCGTACCTATAAGCAGGTAACGAGGTTATACTATTTCAGTGAAGTGCTTTCTTCTACAAAAAGGCTAGCCCTGAAGATCTCCGTTATTTTATGCATCTTTCATACATTTTTATATTATCTCTATCTAAAATCTGACACACGAGGCTACTTCCACATCTGTTGTTTCCTTTAATGCAGAGCTTTGATATTACCAGTGTGGTTGGAGAGGTGAATTCCCTTGAGCTGTGTTTCCAGTCACCAGTGTTGTATGCGGCCCAGCGGAGCAAAGCTCACGGCTACTCCGTGCCTCCGGACTGCCCTCCTCTTGTGCAGAAGGGCCAGTGCCATGTCAACTTCATTCGAAAGGTAACGGTCTTGCAAATGGAGGGGCCTTTAGCCTTGAGGATGGGCTCTGCCGCCACGTGAAGTGCTTGTTTGGAGACACCAGTAGTATTTCAGAAGTTGGACCTCTCTTTCCTGCCTGCTTTATGGGATTGACAACTTGAAATCAGGGGCGCTTGGGGGTGCTCAGTCAGTTAAGCGTCTGCCTGCGGTTCAGGTCATGGTCCCAGGGTCCTGGGATCAAGCCCCACATTGGGCTCCCTGTTCAGCGGGAAGCCTGCTTCGCCCTCTTCCACTCCCCTTGCTTGTGTTCCTTCTCTCTCTGTGTCTCTGTCAAATAAATAAATAAAATATTTTAAAAAAATAAAT